TCAAAATGGGGTAATTCTGCGCAAAATTTGATATCAGATCTTTAAAATGCAGTATTGGTAGGGTGACTACTGTGGTAAATTACCAAACTCTATAAATTATTATGTACGCATACACATGTAAACTATGGTCCATCTACTTTAACAAATATTTATTCAGAGACAAAACAACAATAACATACAAATAATGACACACAATCTAACTAACTATACCCACAACAACAACAACAACAATCTAACTAAATGACAATAACAACTAAACCTTATAAAGTCATCAAATCCCACTCAAAGTTCACTATGATAAAATTAGCCCATGTCTGCTCAGTAGCACAGCCAAGAAGGATCAGGAAGGGATGGGGATAGGGGGAAGTAGTTATCTCTTTCCTGACTTGTAAATGTATTGAATTACCCAATTACCATATCAAAGGTTAAAGCTTATCCCCCTGTAAGAAAGACCTACATGAGCTTGGTCACATGACCCCTGGTCACCATACTAGTTTGATGACAAAATGTCAAAACAACTACCAAAGGATCCTTACCCATACCTCCCAAGTGTCCATATTTATGAGGGTCAGCCCCTATTTTGGTACTAAATCCTTTACTTTGATATCACTTTAAATTTAAGTTAGGTTGGAACTATTTTTCTTAAAGGTTTTTGAGCCGACCACTGGGTTTAAATCTGGTACAATTTCTGTTTTCTGGTGTAGTGAGTCTGACATAGTCAGTGCCAATCTTTTTGTGGCACTGGAAATGTTTGTGACGTTTTACAAACATACAAATCAACTACTTATTTAATATTTGTGGTTGCTGTACAAAAAGTTACAGATTTCTAAAATTAGAAGCCAATGAAGGGAAAAAAAGTAATGTTTCTTTGTTTTGTTTTTTAAATTAAATTAATTTGAAGAGTAATCCGGTTTGAGCACATTTTCTCTGCTAGATCTTGCAGAAGGAACTGCCACCACAAAGTTAATCAGTATTAGCAAAGAAGTAGATATATCTGCCACAAAACATCTCAAATGAGCAAGCATGCCTGGTTCAGTAGTTCATGGCTGTATAAAAACGGTTCATCTTTAGTTATTTACTAACTACTAATAAGTAAAGTTTGTCTTCTCATTTGTCATTCTTTTCTCAGCTACCACCCCAAACATTCCTTGTAAGCATATTGCTGCTCAGATTTGCTGGGGCAGTTATCTTGTTGCACAGGGAAAGTTTAGTTGACAACCTCTGTTACTATATTGCACAGCTTTAAGTACATTGTCACTATCTGGAGTGACTGACTGGTGTTATCCTCTGCTTGAATGTAGTAATGTGTGTTGTTGTGTGTAGCAGTGTTTCTGTACTTGCATTTCATTATACTATCCACACTCTCTCTTGACTTCTTGGCTTGCACAGTCTGAGATCTTGTTAAGTCGGAGAGTGCAATAAAAAAGAATATCCAGTGCACTCCCTTATCCACTAAACAGCAACTTCGGTGCTGACAGATTTTGTTAGTTTTTTAAAAACACCTAATCTAGGCAAAAAATAAAACGTCAATGAACCCCATCTTTGGCAGGTCCTACTCTAACAGCCTAATGTCTGCTTCATGAGCTATTTACTTGGGGGGAAAAAGTTGGCTTGACTCCCAAATATATATAGAAAGGCCTGTAATTGTGGGAGGCGTTACCCGGCTATATAAGCTCGGGCCACCCCTCTCACTGGGCTGTTCACGCTTGGTTCAGTAGGCATACCTATGCACTCACAAATTACCTCTAAGATGCTGGGTCACCAGACTGCAGCTTCTCACCCAGCTCCAAGCACTAACCGCCTGCCTCAGCCAATTTCCCGCTGCTGGCTCACTTCTACCGCGGGGTCCGAACCGAGGCCTTCTCCTGCAAGCTTCCGGCTCAACATCCTGCAGCCAGACTTTAGGCTCATCTTTCAAGTTATTCATTGGTATACTATCCTCCAGCTTCCCTCAGTCCCATGTATCTCCTCGGCCGACATTTGGTTGACAGAATGACTGAGTTTTGGGCCACGGGCCTATGGCATGTCACCACGCGTTCGGTATACGAATGCCAACACTTCTTTGATTCCCCCAGTCCCTCGCAAACACGACCCTCATTCAGCCGAACGAACAGACTATACTGTCTCGTCCCTATTCTGTCCAAATTGCTCCGGCCCACATATGGCCATCCTCTACTAATGCGTTGTGTTATATATTCCCGGCCCAAATCCAAACGTGTTTCAGCCAGATTCTGCCACGTTACTTACTATATTTTATCATCTTATAGCGGGTTTAGGAATTACTGTTACTTATAGTTAGGAGGGTGATTATACTCATGGTACCTTACGTAGTAATGTTCAATTAAAGCATTGTAGTCATGTATTTGGTTATTTCCTCATGTATTCTATGTGTAGTCTGGTACTAGCAATTACTCTCCATGTTATTTTACTTGCCATATATGTATGTAAAGTATTAATCAACTGCCAAATACATTTCTTCAGTATGCCTTTTTACCGGATGTATTGGAAAACCTGTCTCCTCCTACATACAGTGTTTGACACCACTTAGTATAGTTATGACCTTTATGGTCTTACATCAGTACAGACACTACTGCATTCCACAGGTCTCAGCCTATATTCCTGGCAATTGTGTCCTGTATGTCTGCCATCAGGTCATTGGACTCAGCAGGTACATAGTATATTTAGTTTCAGCATCTCTATTATGTTCACCGCGTAGACTCTACAACAATCATCTGTTACGCAGAATGTTACTTTACTAAGTCAGCATGACCATATTTCAATTATAGCTACGCTTTCATAATCACTAACCTTCAACCGATCAACAACTTAAAAAACTTCCAACCCCTCCCATTAAGTCCTACTCAGCCTTACGTAACTTCCCAGTACCACAGAAACTACATTGGGCCTCTCTCGACCTCACATGCATATTCCCTACACAAGGCCGTCTATTGGTGACCTTCAGGTGACCTCAGTGGACACCTACGTCCTATTTGCAACCCCTCATTTGGGCACTAAGTTCGCATCATCTGGATAGAAACGGATGCGTAAGTTCAGATATCTCACAGCTTACTACCTTTAATCAACCACGTCTTATCATATTATACATCTGCTATATCTGCCACCAGGATGGGGGATGCCATGACCAGCCCCGCCCCCCCATGCTGCAGCCGCCCGAGCGCTCTGTAGAGAGCCTCAGGCGGCTGCAGCTTTGCCCGGGCGGTGCGTCCATGAGGGTGGACCGCACCGCCCGGGCGCAGCCTGAGAAAGGGGGCTGATAGGAGGGGGCGCTGAGCGCTCCCTCCTGTCAGTTCCCTCACTGCAGCATGGTCCGACGGGTACAGAGAGCAGCTGTCTCCTGTACCCGGCCGGACTAACAGGAAGTGCACACTGAGTGTGCACTTCCTGTTAATCGGCAGTACGAAAGCAAATACTTCCTGCCACCCGCCGGACTTCTCTGAAACAACCCGCGCTACAGCAAAGGTGAGGTGGGAGGGGGGTAGAAAAGAAGGAGAAAGGGGGTGTGAAAGAGGAGAAAGAGGGTGTGAGGAGAGGAGAAAGAGGTGAGAGGAAAAGAGGAGCAGGGAAATGAGAAAGGGGTGAAAGAGGAGAAAGAGTGAGAGAAAAAGGAGGGAGTGAGAAAAAGAAGAAGGAGAAAGAGTGTGAAAGAAGGAGAAAGGGGTATGTGAGAGGAAAGGGGTGAGAATGAGAGAGAAAGGGAGGTAAAGAATAAGGAAAAGAGGGGTGAGAAATAGCGAAAGAGTGAGAAAAAGAAGGAAGAAAGAGGTAAAGAAAAAGAAGGAGAAAGAGTGAAAAAGAGAAGTGAAAAAGAAGGAAGAGAAAAGGGGTAAAGAAAAGAAGGAGGAGAGGAGGAAATTGAGAGAAAAGAGAGGAGAAAAGGAGAGGAAGTGAAATGAGGGGGAAGAAAAGGAAGAAAAGAGAAAGAGGGTAGAAAGAAAAGAAAAGGAGGGTAGAAAAAGAAAAGGAGGGAGCGAGAAAGAAAAGGGGGTGAGAAAAGGAGGGGGTAGAGAAAAGGGATAAAGAAAGTGGGGATGAGAAAGAGAAAGGGGGATGAGAAAGAGAAAGGGGGGATGAGAGAGAAATTAGGAGGGGGGAGAGATATTAGGAGGGGGGAAAGAGAAATTAGGAGGGTGGGTGAGAAAGAGAAATTAGGAGGGGGGGAGAGAAATTGAAATTAGGAGGGGGGAAAGATAAATTAGGGGGGGAGAGAAAGAGAAATTGGGAGGAGGAGAAGGAAATTGGAGCGGGAGGAGAGATTGACATTCATCACATACACACAATGCACCCCTTGCACACAGAAAAACACACAATGCATTACACACAGACACACATACACAAGCAATACAACCGTTATACACAATGCATCCCTTACACACACAGAAACACACAATGCATTCATTACACACACTCAATGCACCCCTTACACACATTCAATGCATCCCATACATACACAGAAACACACCTTGCAGTCCTTACACATACAAACACAATTTCACGCAATGCATTCCTTACACACATATCAGGACATCCCCTACACACTCCACCCCCTGTGAACAAACTCATCGGTGGAACATGAAGGTGGACCCTGGGACCCAGACCTTGAGCTGTGTAAGGACCCCCAAAAAATGGAGCTGCTTCCCGTTCTCCCAGAACATTGATTTTTGTGACCACAGTTACAAACGGCCTCCAGAGAGCCTGTTCTACACCAGACCAGTGGAGCCAGACTGCAGCTAGAGCCCATCATCATCCTCATCTAGTTGTAAGTAGGCAATCTAGTATATTATTAGGTAGCACTAGCTCTAGTACCTCACATTAAAAGAAACACTATAGTCCCCAGAACCACTTCAGCTTATTAGCCAGTAGTTCTGGTGTCTACTGTCCTGCAAGGCCTTTTAATATGGCTTTCTGGCGGCTTTTCTACAGCACTGAAGGTATTGAATTAACATAGCATATCATATGGGTGGGGCATTGTGATGTCACACGCGCGCATAGAAGGCGGCAAACTTTTACTTTTGCCTAAATTGGCAAAAATCCTTGCACCGGCCCTGGCTGGAGGGGGCTGTGTGAGCTGTGGCCGCACAGTGTCCCATGGTAGTTAGGGTGCCGTGCGGCCAGTACAACTCACACAAGCAAACAGCTGATAAACTGGCCGCACGGAGGAAATGTGTATGTGTGACTGTCTGCCTGTGACTGTATGTGACTGTCTGCCTGTAACTGAGTGTGTGACTGTCTGTAACTGAGTGTGTGACTGTCTGCCTGTAAATGTGTGTGTGGGGCTGCAGGGATTTTGTAGAGGGGGGGGGGGGTTTTGTATTGGGACAGGGGTCTTTATAAGGGGGGATAAGCAGGGGATTTGTGGAAGGGGGTTGCGGGGGTTTTGTAGACGAGGCAGTACAGGATTTGTAGAAGGGACAGGACAGAGGTTTTTGTAGGAGGGGCAGGACAGGACAAGCAGGGTCTGACAGCGGTTTTGCAAAGTTTACAAATTGTAAAAAAAAAGAAAAAGAGAACCTTTAAATTTTTTTACAGGTTTTGGGGGGAGGAGGGGGGGGGGTGCCAAGCACAGGATCCGCCCTGGGTGCCAAATGCTCTAGGTACGCCCCTGTGTATGAACATTAACTTGGTTCTGCGTCTGGCAGGATATGTTTGCAACTGAAATGCTACCAAAAGGTAGACTATTAGACTACATTTTATTTTATGTATTTCTTTTAGATATTTTTACTTCAAGCATGTGTTAGGCAAAACAAAATATGGTGATAAGTGCCAAAAAAGGAGAAATAAAGACATAAAATTATATATATTTTTTTCCTTCAGCCAAGTGTGATTACACATACAATATACATACATATATAGATATAAATCTTCATATAAACAGCAATGTCAGTACTGGCCCCTGTGTATTTTTGATGGATTACTGAAATTATATGTCCATGTTTGTGTTAATACACACTTTTCTATCTCTCCACAGAGTGGTCTCACTCCTTTGCACTTTGCAGCTTTTGGGGGCTGCATTGAAATACTAGAGCATCTCCTCACTGTGGTTCCTCATAATATCAACCTCAAGAGCATCAAGGTACAGTCAAAGTCTAATACCAATGCACGTATGTTTAGATCATGGGTTGCATGTTGGAAACAGACTATGTTAATGTTGACATAACAAATACTTGAGCATGTCTTACTTGAAAATGGTTGATATGCATAACGCCAATCACAAAATGTTACTTTTGACTAAAACTATTTTACTATAACTTTAATAATAACGGACGGTTTGCGTGATGACATAGGACGCGTTCAGGTGCGACCACGTGAGCGCTGGTGTGGTGATAATGAAGAGAGGAGCTAGCAACTAAGTATATGAAGGAGATACTTGAAAACAAGAGAAATCTCAATGTATCTTTCCTGGTAAAATATTTTATAAATAAATAAATGTCAAAGGAGAGCTCCAACTTGGTAGATCCTAACAGAAGCTCAATAGCTCCTGAAAATGAACCAATTACTAAACAAACTTTAACCGCAATAATGGATGAACTATATGAAAAAATAAAAAAAGATTTCAAACACAACATGTGAGATGGGCGACATCTCTATGCCGAATACAAAAATAGAAGCTCAAGATAGAGAAATCATTAATATTAAAACTGAGATCTCCCTTCTTCAGACACAAAATAAACTCTTAGATAACAAAATAAAAGATTTGGAAATAAGAATTGTTGAGACGGAAGACCGCTCTCGTCGCAACAATCTTAGATTCAAAGGAATCTCAGAGAATATAAAACAACCTAACTTAGAGAACTATGTCATTGAATTTATTACCCAATATATAGACCCACAAAATTTGGTCCCTTCCCCATTGGAAAGATACCATAGAATATACAGACTCAGTAATTCGGAAGACTCTAGATCTAAAAATGTAATGGTCAGATTTACTAATGGGGAAGTTAAATACTTCTTAAAAAACAAATGTGAGTAAAATCTAATTTAAAAATGTTAAATATGAAGGTATTATGACCTTTCCTTCACTACAAAACTAAAAAAGAGCAAGTTTTAAAGAGATCACCAAGAAATTAAGATTAAAAAACCTTAATAACAGATGGGGCTTTCCAACCAAGTGGATTGTGTCCTTTAAAGATCAAACTATTGTTTTAAACGATGCAATTAAAGATTTAGCTAGACTTAAGGATAAAGGCATAATAGATTAGTTATGCAGTAAACATTGGATACTCTCCAGTTAGTCAGATCTGCAGTAAGCATAAACATCTTGGTATTAGAACAAATATATATATTTTATAATTAAACACAGGGGTTTGAATTTTATGTCAAATAGAATTAGTATTATTATATGTAATTTGAAATTAATAATTTTTTCACTTTTATGGATAAAACGGGGGGTGATTATACCTAAAGAAATGTATGAGTGTATAATAGGATTATTATATTTTGATGTATGAATTATTAAATTAAATGGAAACTAATCACCTACATATAAGGATAAGGTAATTTTGGAGATGTTCTGTTAGACAGACATATTATTTTGTATTATAAAGAGAAAGGGATGAAGAAGGAAAGAGAAAAAAAAAGGAATTGAGTAGCAAAATGGGATCACTATACTGGGCATATTAGTTGCTGAAAGAATGGTGAATTAAACACTTACACAGTAATAACTTATTTATATATTAACAAAATAACAAATTTATGACAAATTAAATTAGTTTTATTACACTAGATGAGGAGGATGATATAAGAATCACTAACACTATATGTACTATAAGGTGTAAATTAAACACGTAGGATTATAATCACTAATGAAAAATCTATATAAATTCTTAGGAAAAAATTAAGAGATAGTGTTGATAAGTTGTGTGTTTAATAAAAACAGAACTCC